AGAGAGAGAATCTCAAGCAGACTCCACCCTGTCAGCACAGAGCCTGATGTGGAACTCTATTTTGTAAACCATGAGATCATGACATGAGCTGAAATCAAGAGTCTGAGGCTTAACGGGCTGAGCCACCCAGGTGCACCCCCCTCTCTTTTTTAAGAAGGCTCCTCACATTAGATAGAGTGCCACTGAAGAGTCTAAATGACTATCAGCTTTATAATCCTTTATTATTATTGTTTCTACCGAATGGCCAGTTTAAGTAGGATGTGAATAAACACTGGGAACATGCCCAGACTACCAGTTGCTTCATTAACCACAGGGCTGCTGTGGAAACACTGTCAATATTCATCCCTTTATACTATATATAAATATTGAAACTTCTGAGCCCACCAAAAGAGCTCTTGGGGAAAGTAGCCAATTGAAAAAAATTAGCCAAATTAAACGTTATTAGAAGTTTTTATAATCCCAGGTCTATTATAATCAGAGAAAATCCTAGAAGCTGTTAGTGAGATTTTCCTTTCTATTGTCCACTCTCTGAACTCCCTGGTTGCACTCCATTTTAGCCATTCATGTTTAAACTCGTTTCCATCACTGACCTCCTGCCATTTTCCCCAGAAACCAGTTTTGCTGTGTCTGGATTGGATCATTGTATCATTTCTCCTGAGGCTGAGGTTAATATGTGTACAAGTTATCAGCAAGATTCTCTGCTCCTCAATAAAACACCCTTTAATTTTAAGCAATAGCCCAATTTAGTTTTGTATCCCTTTTCACTGGTATGTTAGGGAGCTGAGTTAATACAGACCTGTATCATTTTCTTCTGATTCTTCTTTTACTCCATTAAGGTAACATATTCACATGTTTACCATTTAAAATAGAATCAAAATGTCTGTAGAAATTTTTCTGTGAATTTGAACATCTCCAACACATTAAGTTAATAAGCAAAAGGGAAAAAACATGAAGATGTATCCTTACATAGAATTAATGTGGGGTCAAGAGTCTATGGCTAAGGATCCGAGAATTTAGGAGGGATAACTGGCCTGCTGAGTTGTGAAATCTGAGTAATTTCACTTAACCTTTATGAGGCCAAGTTTATCATTCCAAGACTGAGTTTAACAATCCTGAAAATTCCTTATATTTCAGTTTATGCAGCACACTAAACTAGACTGAACACCATGATCTCATTTCAATCTAGAAAGTCTTAGTAAACTTAAGGGATCTGAATGAATGATACATCCTAGTTGAAAAATTGCCCCGAAACCCCTTACCATTTCAGTTTCTGTGTTTTAGAATTATACTAAATGCATCTATGCATATGCAAGGTAAACTTACAACTATTTAAAATTAAGGAGTGATTTCTTTAAATGCCAAGTTTTTCTGTTTTTCTGTTTAGCTGTTTCTTGATTTCTCTCCAATCCCTCAACTATTGACAGTATGATGTCCACTTGAGTGAGATCAATGATTTTATACACACACATACACACACACACATATGTAATATTATTGACAAGTTTTGTAATGTAATATATATTATTGACCAGTTTTGTAATATAATATATATGTAATATTATTGACCAGATATAGAAGATCTCTAGAATTTTTTCATCTTGCAAAACTGGTCAATAATATTTTTGCTTCATGTTTCTGTTTCATTTTTTTTGTTTTTGTTTTTTAATTTTTATTTATTTTTGAAAGACAGAGAGCACAAGCAGGGGTGGGGCAGAGAGGGGGACACAAAATCTGAAGCAGGCCCCAGGCTCTGAGATGTCAGTACAGAGCCTGATGTGAGGCTTGAACCCACAAACTGTGAGATCATGACCTGAGCTGAAGTCGGATGCTTAACCAACTGAGCCACCCAGGCTCCCCTGTTTCATTTTTTGAAGTAATATCTATTATTAGAGGTATTGGCACACATGAAAAAAGTGTCAACATATACTAAGAAAGGAGCAGAATTTGTGGTTACACTTAGAGTTTGGGTTTTTGGGTACATTCTGAAGAGACAGGTTTAAGGATACAAGTCAGTCTGTCCTGTGGGTCATAAAAATAGAAAGTTTTGTTTACCTGAGAAAGGAAAACAGTGGGAAACCATACGCCTTCCTTACAGAATATTTCCTTTGAGGAATAGAAATATTGATACTTCATCAGAAATGGATCCATTCCTCTTCCATGAGATGAACTATCACATAAGATGGGTCCCTGTGGCTCCCCACCTCCCTATTGAGATGTCTGAGTCACTTTAAAGTCTTAGAAAATACCTTATAACAATTGTTGAAGTGGAAGATTGAGTGTGAAAGTTTGCACCCCAAACTTTCAGATGTTTAAACCCTGACTCTCTAAAGATACAATGGAACGTAAGGATTTTCTCTCTCCCTCCCTCTCTCACTCTCTCTGTCTTCTCCTTCTTCTCTTCCTTTTCCTTCCTCCTCCCCATCATCATCATCATTGTCTCCTTCTGCTTCTCCTCCTCCTCCTCCTTCTTCATATGATTTTAAGTTGATAAGGAGGGTAAGCCTTCTAGATTTGATCCGTGCTTTTAAGGATATTTACTGCCACTTTGGTATATGGACTACAGCTTATATGGGAAATGTCCACATTTAAAATAATGGAAATGCTGCATTAACCATGAACCTGGGGCAGAGTAGACTCTTGTCCTCCCTATTATGTGCCAGAGTTCCATTTTATCACATTGAATTTATACACATTTTTATTGAATTACTGTTTTTGTGCTTTTGGATTTCAAATTCACTTATTTTTATATTTCTTTTGTATGTTTGTCATGGTGAAATTTTTAGTCCGCTGTTCTTTGTAACCACAGGTGGAAGCCACAGAAATGGAGTCCTTGTATCTTGGTGCCAGAGTCTGTCAGGCAGGGGATAATGGGCACCAGTGAAGCCTGTGGAAAGGGGATACAAACAAGAGGTAAGGACATTTTAAAACAGTTTTTTTATGTTTTTCTTATAGACTATTGTTTATTTTATATTTGAATAATTATGATATTGGATTACATTATTTATATTTATCAGTATTTAAGTTTGGAATTATTGTTGATATTATACTCTCTTTTAACCATAACCAGCTAGTGTATCTGTGAACTAGTGCAATGTAAGCAAATATCTGTAAGCGAATTCTTAGTTATTTGCATATCCCAATGCTGATGTTCCAGACACATGCCGGACATGATCCAAGGAATGAAGAATATGTCTATGATGAGACCCAACAGTATACATTGCACTTTTTAGGTGCTAATTTAATGTTTGCTAAATGAATTAAGGATAACTGAATCAATTGACTAATAAGCATGACTTGAATGTAATTGTTATATGCATAATTACTATATGTTCTATATATAATATACATAGAAAGGAGCTATCTTATTCCTGTGAATAAGCATCTGGATCGAAGTAGAAGTGCTTTTAATCATCAATGCCAAGGTATGGCATATTGAAATCTCTGAAAAACACTCAGAGACTCATCAGGCTGCTCACTTTTCTGTTTCATTCATAATCCAGGTACCAGTCAAATGAAGCTTGATAAGAAGTGCTTTATTCTTAAAATCTAACCACTTTGTTGCTAAAGGGATATATGTAGCAAAATCAGACCTTGTGGAATCAACTGCATTATACTTGTTTTATAATTTTTCTAAAAGCCGTATTTAGAATTGTCTCTTCCTGTTGTGTAGGTTATTGTATTGGTTAGGATCAGTCATTACAACCAGCACAATAACTCCCTGCTTTGTTTGTTCATTCAGAGCTGTGAGGAGTCCACCATGACCAGGTGGCAATCTTAACTTCTGGATCAATGGAATCTTATTGTGTCTCCTAGTGGAAGCACTGTTTCCTTCAGAACAAAGACCTATAAGGGCAGCAGAACATAAGATTACAAGAGACAGGAAACAAATGTTTTACTAGTGAGTCACCAAGGGTAATAGTGAGTTATGCCACCCCCATTTATTCCTTCCCCTTGATTCCTGCCTATTGGAGAGACAGTATCAAAAACTGGGTGCTTATTCAGAGCATATACAGCCTTCTGTAAAACCTTGTCTCAGCCCTGCAAGGTATTAACACCTAACTGGTATTATAACTGAGTCTGCAAAAGACCTTTCCACCATTCTATCAAGCCAGCTGCTTTAGGACTGTGGGAAACACGGTATGACTAGTGAGTTCCATGAGAATAGGCCCATTGCAACACTGTTTGTTGTGAAGTGAGTTCCTTGATCAGAAGCAATCCTGTGTGGAATACCATGACTATGGATAAGATATACTGTAAGTCCATGGATGGTAGTTTTGGCAGAAGCATTGTTTGCAGGGAAGGGAAATGTATATCCAGGTTAAATATCTATTCTATTAGTAACAAAACACTTCCCCTTCTGCGGTGGACATGGTCCAATGTAATCAAACTGCTCCCATGTAGCTGGTTCATCACTCTGGGGAGTGGTGCCATATTGGGGACTTAGTGTTGGTCTCTTCTGCTGTCATATTGGGCACTTAGTGATGGCCATAGTCTGGTTGACATTGGTGAGTGGAAGTCCATGTTGCTGAGCCTGTGGATAACCTTCATTCCTGCCACCATGACTACTTTGTTCATGAACCTATTCGATGATGACAGGAGTAACTGGGGAAAGAGGGATGACTGAGGTGACTGGTCTCCATAGAACAGATCATCCTGTCCATTTAATTGTTAAAATATTCCTTTGCTGAAGTCACCCTTTGGTGAGCTTTCACTTGGGACTCAAATATCTTCTCATTTTCCCCAATATAGGGAGGTCTATATATATCCCTCTTCCTCAGGTTTACTTTTCACCAACTTTGCAATCATGTTCCTTCCAAGACCCTGACCATACAGCAAAACCATTGGCCACAGTCCATGAATCTGTATATAATCACATATCTGGCCATTTATCCTTCCAAGCAAAATGGACAACCAGGTATACGGTATTATCTTCTATCCACTGGGAAGAGGAAGATACCTCTCTTTTCAGGGGTATCTCAGAATGGGACTATAGTGCTTTAGCTGTCCATTTTTGTGTCGTGCCTATATATTGTGCAGAACCAGCTGTAAACTAGGCTAGAGTCTTTTCTTCTTCTGTCAACTGATTGTAGGGAACTCTCCATGAGACCATAGGTATAAGGTGGGAGAGAGCAGGTAGTGTAGCAGAAGTGGGAACCATAGATATTTGCCTACTTATTCATGTAACATATGTGTGCCTTCAGGGCCTACAAGGGCCCAGATATCTATATATGACTTACATTTGATGATACCTTACATTGTGGCTTGGTGGGTTAGGTAACACCCAGTTCATGATGGGCATCTTGAGTTTCATGATAAGTTGGTGACCAATGATTAAGCCTTCATTCTCTACCAGGACACAGTATCAGGTGAGGAGGTGTTTCATTCAAATAATAGTTATGTGCAGAGAATGACAGGGCTTTGCTCCAAAATCCTAAGGACCTATCCCGTGACTCACTTATAGAAGCCTGCTAAAGCCTGCAAACAGTGTTCCTGTCTGCTACTGATACTTCAGTGGCACTAAATTTGCTGGATAATGTGGCCCAACTGTCAGAACAGTATGCAGAGTAGCCTAGACTATTATAGAGATTTTTCTTATTCTGGTACCCACTAAAAACTAGCAGCTCTGTGAGTCTCTTGGCAAATAGGTGATACTAACACACTCAGATAAGGAATATGTTACCTCCAAAATCCAAAGAGGTCCACTAGGTGTTGTGCCTAGTTTGGGTTGCAGGAGGGGCCAGATGCAAAAACTCATTCTTCCTCATAGAAAGGATATCTTGGCACAGCTCACACCACTGGACCTCTAGAAATTTCCCTGAGATAGAAGGTCCCTGAGTTTTTTTCAAATTCATTTCTTATCCACTGATGTCAAAACGTCTTGCCAAAATATCTAGGGTAGTTGTTACTTCCTACTCACTAGATCCATTCAGAATAATGTAATCAATGTAATGGACTAGTTTGCTATCTTGCAGAAGGAAAAGACAGTCAAGATGCCCATAAACTAAATTATGAAATAAGGCTGAAGAGTCAATACACCCCTAAGGACAGGAAAGGCATGTTGTTGGCCTTGCTACCTAAAAGCAAACTGTTTCTGGTGGTTTTTATTATTTTCAAATATACTATTATTTGGGGTTGGAGCTTTAAGAAAGTAATTTGGGATCACATCAGTTTATAACAATTACACTTTGTAAATAATGTCTAAGAACATTTATACATGTGAATTTTATTGGCCAAGTAGTTTTATTCAGGACTGCTATGAGGCTATATACTGACTGTGTAAATTAAGGGATGGGAGCACCTCCTTAAAACATTTTACTTCCAAAATTGTTGTAATAATATGATCTTGTAATTATAAGACCTTTGCCTACTTTCTGCTGGAAAATTTCTGTAACATATCTTGATTAACAATATGTACAGGAGTGAAATTTTTTAAAAATGTTACTTTTGTGTGGTGCACAACTTAATTCTATATGGCGGCCTAGACTTTGACACTTTGATACTAGGGTATCATAATGATTGGTTTTCATTACAAAACCATTTAGTAATTTGTGAAGAGATGTGGCTCCTAAGGTATAGAATCTTATCACATAAATGGCAAATTATTTTATCTGTCCTCAATTCTATTTTGGATTTCAATTTACATGGATTCTAGCTGGAGAACTGATTGTCCCTTAGACTAGGCAAGTGATCTTCTTGAGTTTTCTCTAAATTAGACACCAATATTAGAAAATTTCTAGTGTTTATTTGTTGGAAAACTTGTAATTTTAAAGTAGTGGGATAGGTCTCCAATTTTAAGATAGTGAAGGAGGGGCGCCGGGGTGGCACAGTCGGTTAAGCGTCCGACTTCAACCAGGTCACGATCTCGCGGTCCGTGAGTTCGAGCCCCGCGTCAGGCTCTGGGCTGATGGCTCAGAGCCTGGAGCCTGTTTCCGATTCTGTGTCTCCCTCTCTCTCTGCCCCTCCCCCGTTCGTGCTCTGTCTCTCTCTGTCCCAAAAATAAATAAACGTTGAAAAAAAAATTTAAAAAAAAATTAAAAAAATAAAATAAAAAAAAAAGATAGTGAAGGAAAGAAACATCTACTCCAGTTTTTCTCTAAAATAACTTCGAAACCAGCAAGGACAACATGAAACCATAATATAAAATTAATCTCCAGTAGATCTCTTTTATAAAATTGCTCCAGAGAACAGGAAGCACAATAAACTCACCTTCAAGTAAATGAGGAGATATCTGTAACATCAATCACAATATATGGTTTAGAAAGTGAATGGAGTGTCCCCTGGGTGGCTCAGTTGGTTAAGCATCCGACTTTGGCTCAGGTCATGATCTCGCACTTGAGTTCGAGCCCCATGTCAGGCTCACTACTGACAGCTCAGAGCCTGGAGCCTGCTTTGGATTCTGTCTCTGTCTCTCTGTCTCTCTGTCTCTGTCTCTGTCTCTCTCCCTCTCACCCTCTCCTGCTCATGCTCTATCTCTCTCAAAAATAAGCATTAAAAAATGAAAAAAAAAGGAAAGTGAATGGAGATATGGTAAAGTAGTTTGCAGAACAAGATTATGCCTAAGTTTGCCAGGGGTGAAGGTGTGGGGATGAAGGGAAATAAAGTGATTTGTCCTAGAGAACTCCAGAAAGGTACCATATCCTGCAGAAGGAAGTATGTAAGTGTGTGTGTGTGTGTGTGTGTGTGTGTGTGTGTGTGTGTGTGTTTTGGGGGTGGGAGAAGAACACCGGGGCTTTTGAAAGTCTGATTTAAGAGCAGTGAGCAACGTCACCCTCTTCCTATTCTTTTGGGAGCCTGGAGGTGTATTCTCTGGCGATATAAAACCAGAATTGTATACTTTGAACAACAGGCAGAGGAGAGTGGAGATGAAGTGTTAGCCTCAAATCAGGAGGATCAAAAGGAAGTCCAAATAA